GAGGCACTGACGATGTGCACAAATATATATACACACACACACATATATATATATATATATATATATATATATATATACATATATATATATACACACACATATATTGAGATTGTAATCACAATAAAAAAAAACGCTATTATACAATATAAATACCCCAAGAGCTTTGTTCATGCAGTACAATATCATGGTCTGAGTCAGCAAAACAAGTGGAAAACTCTGCTATATTAACATGCATCTTGGAGGACAATTTCACAAACCAAATAGCCAAATCACTCAATTTGTGTTCACAGACTTTCAAAACAACGGCAGGTTAGTCCAATCCAATCCTTGCGGACTGTGAGTCAGACGGAGTTTGTTGCTTACAATTCATCATGCAGCGTGACAGAATTATAGCGGGTGAAGTGATCTGATCATTTGAGAAGCTGCTCCAGGGGAAGTGTGGCAGCTCGACACCATATTGCTAAAATATGATCGTGTTTGCATGCAAATGAGCACGGTGCCTCCTCGAGCATCGAGGAAAGCAAATGGCAGAAACACGCAAGCAGTCCAATCTGATCAAATCTGAACAAACGCACCTTTTGCCTCTCAGTTCTGTCAGTTGTCCAGCCAAGATGGCAGCCAATCCCATGGCCCCCTCGGTGTCCACGGTGGAACGCTCAAACTCTTGAAACCTCAACATTGCCACCAAAGAGTCCTCCTCACTGCGAGGCATGAACACATCGACCCATTAATGGCAGTTCAGATTCAAGACAACCGAAATTCGGCAGATCAATAACACATTCTAGCTTTTTACAGTTTACAAAGCCAATTTTAAAGATTTGTTTTTTTCTTTTACAAACGCACACATCAATGCAAAGTCGCAAGAATCTACCACGTAATTCCTAAATGGAATGGAACCATAACTGTCATCCCAGAAGAGGCTTAAAGGTTTCATTTGAGTTGTCATGATTGTATTGTTAAACTTTTATGGCGCATCCATTTAGTTTTTGACAAGTTTGACAATTTTCAGGCAAAAAGATTACATGGCGGTGGTGGTTTTACAAAAAAAATAAATATCACCACAGCCCAGAATCAGAATCAGAACCTCTTCCCTGTGGTTTTCTTTCCGCATCTAAGATATTGGTCCGCTTAACAACGAACTGCCAGGCTTCTCGTTCTATTTCCCTCTGTTAGTCATTGTTTTGTTTATGGTCCTCTGGACATGTATACTGGGAAAGTAAATTCCTCGTGTGTTTTACATACTTGACCAATAAATTTGATTCTGATTCTCATTCTGATTCTGATCCAAATCTCATCACACACTGCTCAGTATGGTTTGGGACCGCCTCTGTTCACCCAGGACCTGGACGCATTGCTACCACCCAAGGAAAAATGAACCCCCAAGTTCATCAAGACATTTCTGTCTGCCATTTGAAGCTTGAACAGAACAAGAGTGATGAAATAGGACAACGACTCAAAAGGACAAAAGTAAATCAATAACGGAGTAGATGCAACATAAAAATAGGCCTTCTTGAGTGGCTCAGGCAGAGTCCTGACCTCAAACACAGCATCCCAAGAACATTGCTGAAAAGAGACAGTTTTGTAAAACGGAATGGTCTACCATTACTCCGGAGAGGGGTGAGTGATATTTGTTTTAGGAAATAGTTTGTGTATTGTGCTTTACACAACGATCAGATCCTATTGTAGGACCAATTTATGCAGACATCCCGTTGATTCCAAAGGGTTCACATAATTTCTTTTGAGAGTGCCACAGTTAAACCGTACCGCTTTTAATTCTTCGGCAAAAATACAGTAAATGGCTGAATGAAGTCTGGACCCCATGAGTATCTCCAAATTCCCAGTTCCTCCTAAGAGATGCTTTGTCAGGCTTCCACTGCAGCCACTTTCCAAGTCTGCACTACATCTTTTCTAGTAGTTATATTTTCTGTGTTACAGAATGACTCGTGTGAACGATGTAAGTAAAACGAAGGTATCCAGCACCGTATGTTAATACATCTTCTCCTGAAACATTTGGCGAAACTTCAAACTTTCGGTTTGCTGTGGACTACCTGACAGAGATGACTTTATCTACTAGTTTCTTGGCCAGCTGGAAGGTGTTGATACCGAGTGCGCACCCCATGAGATCTGACAACAGACAGGAGAGCAACATATGCTGCGTTACAAGAGCACCAGCATACAAACAGCAAACATGAATGCTTAGTCAACCTTGCTCTGATAGAGTTCAACTGCGCATTTAATTCATGACTTAAAGCCTTTTAAGTATGGCATGTTTACCTCCGTACAGCTTGGTACTCGGGTTGCAATGAACGTCTTTGATGGGGCCATCTGTCTTTAGAGATTGCAGCAGCAAAGGGAAACCTTCAGGTTCTATTCCCTGTTTGGAGAGAGTCCACGCACAGAATTATTATGTGTGCTGCAGCATTTTTTTTTTGGAGACCACACAAACATAAAATAAACATTATGAATACAAAAATATTCTTTCAGGCCGCCCTCATATGCACAGCCCCCACACAGACACTGAGCGGTGTACTCTAGAATATGTTGCACAAAGATTTATTCGTGCATCTTAAATTCTTTGATCCCAGCAAATTAGTAAGAGCATCCATGCATGGGCACCTCCACCAGCCCCCCACACACGATAATGTAAGGCAATTGGTAAAGCCAGAAGACGGCATTAAATATTTGTGGTGAAAAATAAGAGGCTCATCCTTTCCCTCCAGTGTAAACAGACCTAAAGCTGTCAGACTTTTAGCAGTGGATAGATAATGGAACCAAGAGAAAAAAAAAAAGTAAGTAACATCAAATACATTTATCTTGTTAAGAAAAGCCCGGCTCAATGAAAAACATCCACACTGGGGAAATGTAGGAGGCGAGTAACGGCTTGTCTTTGCAATAGGAAGCAATGAGGGGAAGGTGACCCCATTTTGAGGTGCAAAATCAAAGCTGATAATCAATCATCACTTTTTCAGAGAAGTTTATGGAGTCTCTCTTCTAGCGCATCCACTTACTATGACTAGAACGTGTGAGTTGAGATGCTTGATGGCTGCCGCCGTGCCGGCCAGTAGACCGTACTGTCCAGCTGCAGGAACCACCACCGCATCAAGCTTGGACACTTGTTCGTAAATCTCCATGCCCACTGTGCCCAGTCCCGCCAGGTAGGTCGCACTTTCATCTCTGAACAGCACAAAAATGGCGCCTTATGTGGCTTTTTCAAAACAGTAACTCAAAATGGTTTTGGGAATATATTTCATTTTGAATTTAATGTCTCCAACACTGCGTGAGCCAATGGTTCAGGAGTTCAAGGACATCACTTCTCAATGTGAAGAGAAATCTCTTCATGTAAACAACAAGGCTGAAAATCAACATTGAATGCCCGTGACCTTTGATCCCTCACATGCCACTGCATTAAAAAGCAGCATCGTTATGTAAATCGCCCGTGACCTTTGATCCCTCACGTGCCACTGCATTAAAAAGCAGCATCGTTATGTAAATGGTATTGCCACATGGGCTCAGGAACACTTTACAAAACTATTGGCAGTTAACACAGTTCGTCGCTACATCTACAAATCCATCTACAAAAGTTCAAACTTTAGTAGGTAAAGCGAAAGCCATATTTTAACAACATCTCAAAACGCCAACGTATTCTCTTGGCTGAAGATTATCGAGGAAGATGCAATGTGGAAAAGTCGTTCTGTGGTCTGACGAGTCCACATTTCAAATTGCTTTTGAAAATCATGGAAAGGGCCATCTAGATTGTTATCTGCACAAGGTTCAACGGTCAGCATCTGTGATGGTATGGGGTTGTGTTAATACCCATAGCACAGGTAACATGCACATCTGTGATTAAGCCATGAATGCTGAAAGGCGCATTGAGGTTTTGAAGCAACATTCAGTATGCTGCCATCCAACCAACGTCTTCTTCAAGGAGATCTGTGCTTATTTCAGCAACACAATGCCAAGCCACATTCTGCACGTGTTACCACAGCGTGGCTTCATTGTAAAGAGTGTGGGTGCTAGACAAGCCTGCCAGCAGTCCAGACCTGTGTCCAATTGAAAATGTGTGGCACATTACGAAGACCAAAATACAACAATCGCGATCCTGGATTGCAGACCAACTAAAGTTGGACATCAAATAAGAATGAAGAAGGAAGAATTACACCTACACCTCTTCTACAATTAGTGGCAACTAAAGTTGGACATCAAATAGGAATGGGGAAGAATTACACCTACACCTCTTCTACAATTAGTGTTCAGTTTCCAAACGCTTGTTAAAGGTTGTTAAAAGGAAAGGTAATGTAACACATTGGTAAACGTACCCCTGTCCCAGCTATTTTGGAATGTGTTGTAGGCATCAAATTCAAAATGAGTGAATATTTGGGGAAAAAAAGGGAATCAAATTGGACATTCTTGTCTTTGTTGTATATTCAAGTGAATATCCTGTAGGTTGAAATTATTATATATATTAAACATATGATATAAATTGCTCACTCTTCTAGGTAGAGGTATCCATTTTCTTTGGCCAGATGGCGAGCGTGGTTCTGAGAGTCGTGACCGGTACTGCCATAGGAGATGACCATGGCGCCATAGTCTCTGTAGATCCTGAGACGAGGCGAGGAACAACATGACGGCATGATGGCAAACACGGGGATCTTCAGCTCCACTGCATGGTGGGCCACGGCCATGGAGAAATTACAGTCAGTGGCAACGATCACTCCCTTCCTCTGCTGTTCCTGAAAACACGCATCATGGAGTGATCAATTATCAAAATCTCGGAACAGTTGGTCGTCTTTATGAAACAGTGGTGAAGGCATGAGTGGTCAGGGGCAAAGCTCCACTGGATGGCTTGTTTTTATTCTCTCCACCCATCCCTTTTCTTCATCCATCCCAAAACTACAACGCAATGACACTGCTCGTCGAATCATCACCTCTATGAACTGGGAAATAGTCTTCCAACAAGCAAACGAATGGCTTGGTCACCTAATGGCAGTGCACATATTGATAAGCAACCATTGACCCCCATGAGAAATTGAGAATCTTCAATGTACCCAACGTGTCTTTTTGGAATGTGACATGAAGCCGAAGTACATGGAGAGAAAACCAACGCAGGCACAGGGAGAACATATAGTATAAACTACACAAACCAAGGCCAGAACCAAGAGTCAAAGCCCAAACTTCAGAACTGTGGGGCAGACACGATGACCACTATTAGATCGTGCACATTTTTTATTCATTCTGTTTTGTATTTCATATTTCCGACAATGACATACAGCGGTAGGGAATAAGTTGCCAAATTATTGCCTACAAGGGTGTTTTTTACACGCATCTCTCTGACATAAAATGATACCAAATGCATTTTACATCACACATAGGTTCCCTTTATTACTTGACAAAGTCAAATGCAAAGTATACATAACGTGTCAGTTCAGCTATAATGAGCAACATGGCTTCTTTCACGATAAGTTATTCTTGATTCGACTCAACTGACACCCCACCAATTTCTGTAACACTGCAGTCACGTAGTTCTTACTTAACTAGTGTGCCGCCACATGTGACTGACAAGGCATATTAGTGTTGGAGACTGTTTATGTTATTCACTTGATTTTCTGTTTTGTTGCATCATTTTTGCTTTTGTGAGTGTCTTTGAAGTAATCGTTAATTTACGTTTTTTCTGAGGCGGTCTTCGAACGCCTCTTGAGTCGAAAGGCAGTTGAGAAGGCGCGTAGTCCAACATCGACGTGTCTGTGTTTGCTTCAGTGTGAAACGAATTAATAAAGTGTATGTTTTAAAAATGAAACGACACGACAGCTCTTTTTGTTTCGGAGCTGCAACATTCTTACGTCACAGGACCTCACAGACAGGAAGTGGGGATTCTCTGTCTTACCTGTGTTAGCGAGGAGAGCATGTACAACACTCCTCTCTCCTTCACTGAGCCCGTGTAGTGCAGGTGCTCCTTCTTCAGATAAATCTCCATACCATACTGTTTGGACAGCCGGGAGTACTGAGAAACAAGATGGGTTGCAGTGTTTTGTTAATCCCAAAGGAGATTCAGTCATAGAGCTTGCCGTTCAAATTCACTTTACACTTTAGAGTGAAATGTAGTAGTACAGCTATGAAATTTGATCTCAAGGTTTCAAAGTTTTGTTTTTGTAATGTTTACTGTGCAAGGCGTCTTCTGTATGCTTGATTGGATAGTAAAGGCGGCGGCGCTGATGTCCTCAAAGCGCAGGTACTGAGGGACCGGTCTGGGGACGATCCTGAACTCGCTGACTCGTCTGGTTTTTGGTGGCTCCTTTAGCGTGATTACAGGTGCTTCGACCACCACTTTGGTCTCACGGACCTTCACGTCCCCGTTGAGGAGTTCTTCCTCACCAAAGTCTTTCAGCCTCTCTGGTTCAATGAGGGTCGGTCTGCGGCCCACGGCGCCATTACTGAGCAGCGCTCCTTTGTGAGGGTCATATGGTTGTGCAGGGCCCAGTCGCAGCTCCTCTCTAGAAGATAAAAGTACTTACGTCTTTAAAGCACCGCACAGTTTTTACATCTGGAATATGAAATGAAGACAAATCATGATATCATAACATTTGCACATTCGGTGGGGAAGTATGAGAACAAAAAAAACAAACAAGATGGGAACAATCAACTACCAAAATTCTGCATGAATCCTCATTTCACTGAAGTACGTCCATCTAAGAGATTCATTTTCAAGTACATTGCAAACTGCTCTAAACCACCCTCACGAATGCCGGGGCGTCTTTAAGTCTACTGTCAACAATTTGGTCTGGATGGCTAAAAGTTAAGTAAGAGGGTCACATTAATATGGATTTTCTTTTTGTAAAAAAAAAAAAAAAATGTGGCTGTTAAATACAGTGTCAATGGTATTATTTTACTTTTTCTATGTTGCAATCCGGACAAAATATTTATGAATAGACTTTCATGTCGAAATTTCAGAACGTATTTGTTTCAAACAGATTTAGAGAACAAGGAGCCATTTTGTTTGAACTTGATATGCTGGGACAGTTTATGTGACTGGATTTTTAAAGACAATCCTCAAGTCCATTTCCAGAAACCTAGGACATCAGCGACTTGACGAGCCATATAAAACTCGGGACACTGTAAATGAGACATAAAACCACAGCCGATTAAATGTTTGAAGGTGAATGTCAGAATGTAGTCAAGGTGGCAGCTTTTGAATGCGAGCATTCAAAGTGTAGAACTTAATTGAAACGAATATGATCGAATTCCTGAAAATGCTACAGATAAGAACACCCACTTCTGTCACCTTTCATGTCAACACAATTTTTATTCACTGTGAAAGATTGCATCTAAAAGCTAACTTTTTTCTTTTCATGGCTCACACAAACGATTAAAGTGGGAATAAAGGGCCAAAGGCAGGCCAGTTGGATTTATAGCAGCTTGATATATTGAGTTCAAATATAATGGAATGGTCCTTTAAACAACCAAGTTTCATTTCATGTTATCTGACGAAAGTGTAAAAACTTTTTGAACAAAATATTATACGGGAGGAGCTGCTTTTACCACCACCGAGTTAATTAGAAGGCCTTTCACACAGTCTAAACACAATAATAGGCTTATAGCCTTTGGAGATTAACCCCGTCACCTAGATGCTAAAGAAAATTATATTTGGTCAACGGCAAGGATTGAAATTCCGGGTTTGTGCGCGCAGTAGAGCCTGTGCACTGATAATTAGCTCTCCACTGCAGTAATGCGTGGTTGTCAGGAAATGTGATGAATTTGTTTAATATACACTTGAGCTTTGGTGTGCTTTTGCTGTGTTTCATTACTGTCGCTTATATTAAGAAGCACGTGGCTTTCCAAACAGCCTGACTGCATTTCAGTCAGAGCTGCTTCTATTTAAACCACAAATCTTTGACCTTTTACTCCGTCATCTGGCTCCATTTTTGCCCTCTGCCCCACTTATCAGATGCGTGCAGTCCATTATTCAGCCACTCAGTGTACTTGTAAATAACACATTGACCAGAAAAGCCCAAGGATGCAGCTCTGTTTACACAGTGTGCTCCTGAGCCTGCGCGGTCTTTTTTTTTTTTTTTTTTCTTTGTATGTCTAGTGGCGTACCCTCAATGGCACAACTATGGTGAATTGGAGCGACAAATGAATTTTCAGCATTACTGTTTGTTAATAGTTCATGTCATGAATTGATGGTCAAATTTCACACGGTAAAATGTAACTAAATGTTTTCAGAACCACGGATTTACTTCACACACGCAGGTAATAGTATCGGTTGTGCATACTTGGGACCTTGGCACATTAAGTAGACACACTGTACGCACACACACACACACACACACACACACACACACACATATACCAATACAAAGTGGAGTTAAAAACAGGAGCAGGGACTGAGGCCAGAAGTGAGCTGGCACTTGAAGTCCCATCTTTGTTCTGAACTGGGGGTGGAGTTTTGTCACCAAGACTGGGCAATACTGCTGGACTGAGTTTCGAAGGGCCAACATCAATACACGTGTCCCACCCCTGCCCAAAGGTATCATTTTATCTGCTGTCTTCAACCCTTTCAGGGACAGCGGTTACTACAGGGGGCAGCCGATCATGTTATCAGGTTACAGGTTATCATTATTGGTGCATGAAAGGGTAAAGCACAGGCTTCCATGAAAACAAGACTCTTATGAAATGGAGGATTTGTAAGAGTAAGATGAACAAATGGAGTACAAACTACAAGAGGGGTTGGAAGGGCGTGTTCACCGGTAGTCGCGTCTTTGTTTGGAGCCGGAGGTTTTTGTTGTTTTTTTTGGGGGGGGGGGGGGGTCACAAACACTGCACATCACTACTGGATTGATCTGGGGAGAGGAGAGTTCTGACTGGTCTGGGTCACTACATGTTTCCCACCTGTGCCAAAAGGGGTCATTCTCCTCGATGCCTTGAAGTGCAGGCTTTGGTGAAAACAATCGTTCTAGTCTCTCACTCAAGTAGCTTGAATAAAATAACTGGGCAGCAAAGTTCATCTTGGTTGAAGCGGAGTCCTCTTAGAATCCAAACAGTTCTTCTGTATTTGTGTACGAATCCTCCTCAGATGATGAGGTGTGGGATACTGCCCAGTACTGTTCCCCACGGTCTAAGCCCAAGTTCCCAAACTCTTACCCAGGTCGGAAGCTGTTTAAGAAGGGATTATCTCGGGACACTTGGGAGCGTCTCTCCAGTGACTTGGCCCCTCCCAGCATTCTATTCCTGGCCCAGACCGGGATTACGTTCCCTTTCTATGACGTAGACCAAATCAGACGGTCTAAGGGGATAGATGCAGACTTAGGATTTATCTAAGGAGCAGTGATCCAGGGGCTCAACCCCGCAGGGGAGACAACTGTGAATGAGAAATTAAAAACCTGCACCTCCGTTTGTGAAGCCAAGAATTAAGGTACCTGCCTGTGCAAGATGCTCTTCGGATATCTGTAGACAACTTCAGATCCATGTCAGTTATAGTGGCCATTGGCTTAAATAAGATCTGGTAATGTTCATCGTTGAAGGAACACATTGCACACCGTTGCATCTTTAGATTCCAGCTTCACAGTGAACTTGATAAGACGAAGCAATATGGAAAATGGATAGGTTGTTAATGGTTCTGACACGATTTATTTCGGTCAGTTGATGGGATAAGTCAAGTGTCCAAAACGTGCATTTGTTGATGATGTCGTGACAGTCATCTCCCGGCAGAACCGATATCACGAATGACTGTGGAAATTTGTTTCCCTCAGGCAACCGTCTTCATAGATCTCATTGCGATGGCACTTGACAAACATTCACCAGCATCATCACCTTGCCCAATGCAGAATTATCACTGCCTTTCATCCAGTCATCCACAGCCAGCAATTGCTTTGTAGCTCATTGTAACCTTGTTTTTTTTTTTTTTCTGTTTCTGTGTTAATGATGGCTTTCGTTTGGCTTTTCTGGAAGTAAATCCTATTTCCTTTTGGCGCTTTCTGCACAGATGTCGACTCCGACTTCCTCCCATTTGTTTTGCTGTACATTTTCTGCTTTCTTGATGTATTGCTCGTCTCTGACACTTGATGCTCACGATGCTTCCTTCATCTACCAGCATGTTTGCCATCTTGGTCCAGATTTTAGACATGGGCTGGCTGTGAAATATAATTTATGCCTACAGGGGAACATCAGTGATTGGCTGAACCTCTGGCACAAGGCTTATATTTAAACGACTGAATGAATGATCCTCAAACTGGTCATGGACATGCAGCCACATGCATCGGACTACATGGAAAGCCCTACAGAGATGCAAGCAAAACACACAATGAGCTCTGTGTACAGGAAGCAGAAAGGACACTCTCCCAGTCCTCATGCAGCGTTACGTTATCCTTCCTTAAACCCTAAATTAACTTGAACCAACCTCTAGTATGACCTACACTTACAGGTAATCCTTTTCTTAATCTTGGCCTACCAAACAAGTCCGAACCTTGAACTGTAACACTGCGTCCTTTCCTTGGGTGTGATATTTTGTCATGATGGCACACAAGACAAATAGGAAAAGCGCGCAGGAATAGACAGAGAAGGTGACCCTGCCTCCAGCAGTTTGTCACATGACACACGAGCGCAACCAGATGCCATCAACTTCTCACTCTGCACGTTTGCGGCACGCTGTGTCTCATCATATTTACCTTAAGTTTCAGCGGCCACCTGTCACGTGCCCCGAGGGATGTTCACATCACAGTCTGCCTTGTTTTCTCTCTCACTTTTCCACCCACGTTTGTGTTTCGGTTACTTAACCCGCAGATCTGCTTTAGAGTGCAGACAAGTGAGCAGAACATAAGGCTGAAGACAGTCTGGCTTAAAGAAGATAACCAATGCTTACTACAACCAGGTTGCGTGCGCTTGCACGTGTGCATGTCCGCGTGTGTGTGAGTCAGACAGAAGAAAGCCGAGTCAGAGCAACTAAAAAGAAGCAATCACTTTGAGCGCAGAGGGCCTTCTTTGCTGCCAAATTGATTTGATTTCACACGATTGCTGCTGGGAAAAGAGCAGAAGCCTAGAGCTTTTATTCTCTTGATTTTTATCGAGCAAAGATTTTCTAAATAGGAAACAAAAAGGAGACAACTGAAATCGCAACCGGTTTAACCCTTTAAGGCACGGGTGTCAAAGTCAAGGTCCGGGGGCCAGATCCGGCCCGCCACGTCATTTTATGTGGCCCGCGGATGCAAATCATGTGTGTCAACTTTCATGATCCTTGCTGAAAATCTGGACCAAAATGTCAAATTGTCATGGGTAATAAATAACGTTGAGATTTTGCATCGCCCCTCCGAGGGAAGCCGTAATTCCAGTGGTCCGCGACAAAAAAAATAGTTTGACACCCCTGCTTTAAGGGGACAGCAGTTACTACAGTGGACAGCTTATCATGTTATCAGGTTACAGGTTATCATTATTGGTGCGTGAACGGATTCAGATCCCTTTTTTCCCCTCATATCGATGGCAAAACGAACAAAAACACTGGATATCACTATCACCAGCACAAAAAAACTTGGACAGTGTAATCATTGAACATTTGTTGGTGCACCTAATATTTCACACTCTCAGGAAAAATGCCGGTGTTTGTATAACGCAGAGCATAATACACCCACAAATGCACCAAACCAACACTGTATGACTGATGAACTCGGAATTCATCCTCGGAGGGAAAATAAATATTTTCTATTCGTGTTTAGTTAGACTGAGATGTCAGTCCCCTCCCCAGTACAAACTTCCCACCCCTTCCCAGATACCAAGCTTCCCGCTCTGCATTCCATGTTTTCATTTGGAAACGGGGCCCAACCACTCCGGAGGAAACATTGTTGAGGCAGCAAAGTCGGAACTAAGGAGTATTGCACTAGAAACTAATTGTTTACATCCCCTCGCCCCTCCTTTTTGAAAAAAAAAAAAAAACACCATGAGCCATCCTTCCACCCCCACTATTGGACTGATCATCCTCTTGATTGGCTACACTGTGGCAGGTAAGAAAAGCAGCTTGGCAGAGGGGAGGTGGCGAGGTTGGCGGCTGGGCGGTGGG